CCACGCGAGATGTGTATAAGAGACAGCCCCAATAGTGCTCACCTGGAAGACGACTCTCACCCCTCCCCCTTCCCCGCTGATGGTGGCTTTCTCGTACGGCGTCTCTCCGTTAAGGTGCCGTTTTCGCCAGCCTCGCCGAGGAGGAAGATGATTCGTCCATCGACCCGTCCCCGAGCGGCGGCCGCAGCGTCCTGTATTACAAGGGCCTGGGAAGGCATTCGTTGGGAGACGAGTGAGTATCATAGGGCGAAGACAGGCTCAGCTGAGGGAGAGAGGGAGGAAGAGGGAGAGAAACAGGGGGGGGAGAGGACGAAGTAGAGGGAGAGGTACACGAGAGAGGAAGAGAGAAATAGAGAGCACTCCTTGGGAGACGAGTGAGTACAATAGAGCGAAACCAGGCTCGGCTGAAGGAGAGAGGGAGGGGGAGGGAAGGGGGGAAGGAGAGGAAGAAGGCACGAGAGAGGGAGAGAGAAAATTGGAGACAAGACAGCGAGACAAAGCGAGGACAGACAGAAACAGACAGAAACAGACAGAACAGACAGACAGAGAGGGAAGAAGGGGTCGTCTCACGGGCACTGTGGGTATATGTGGGGTTGTGTCTCCTTAAATGTGGTGGAGGGAGAGAGGGGGGCATTCTTTAGGGGGTGTTGATTGTCGGAAAATAGTGGTGTTCTGTTTCCTGTGCCCCGCCCCCCGCCTCTGCTCGTCCTCAAACACCAACACTCAACCACCATTATACCCATTCCAAGCCACATCTTCTTGACAGACGGCCACACTTTCACACTGTACTTCACTCTGGCTACGTCCACCTTCCATCGCCAACATGAGCACCGGAAGCCACCTGCCCCATAAAAAAGCCTTCTCCATACACATGAAAGCCACACAGAGACTACCCGCTCGAGATATACCCACGTGTTTTTTTTGTTGCCGTGCGCGTGCGTGCCTGCGTCCCAGCTGGACGCGCATGATGCCCGCGAAGGAGAGCGTGGTGTCGGTGGCGGTGGGGAGGGGATGGGCGGCGGCGGCGACGAATCGCCAGCTGGTCAGGCTCTTCTCGGCTAGCGGACTGCAGGCACGTGATATTTGGTGACAGAAGTATATATCGATTTCTTGTCTTGTCCTCGTTCAACCAGGAGTCGGTAGGCAGGGAGATGTTGCATTTTATGTTGGGCAGCCGCTATCGGACTGCAGGTAAGTAGTATTGATTCTCTTCACCTCCTTTTTCTACTGTGCGAGAGGGAGAAACCACGTATTTGGTGGGCGTAAAGGGTTGACGATAAATTGTGATCGGGCTTGTGCCGGGACCCCTTCAACGCGTTGACTGCTCTACCCGGCTGACCATCGCAAGGACGCAAGTCTTGGTGTTGTGACATTTTCTGTAGAACCATACAGGTTTTACATCGCCATTTGTATGCTTCGTGTGCGCGCTCCAAGTGCTCCTGGGTGTTTGGCTTCAAAGTCCACAGACCGTACGAATAGCATCTCCCATGTTGTTGCTTTGTTTTTTCTATCCTCTCTCAGAACCAATACAAAACCATCTGTGACTACCCCGCATGGCCCACCTGTGTCTACTCCGACCATCCATGTCTACTGCACATGGACAAGAGATTTGAACATTTGGTTTTGGTCGTTCTCTCGGATAGACTGTACAAACAACTCCCCCCATTTCTTCACTGTTCATTCCCATGGCGTGCATACGCGCTCAATCTTCGCTTGCGTCTCGGTTGCGGTCATCGCTGTCCCCTTCCTTGGCAATGCTTAGGGGGAGACTATCATGCTCCCGGGGCCGGTGGTGTCGATGGTCGGCAGCGGCGACGTCCTGATGGTGGCGTTCCACAAGGTGAACGATCTACAGTACATCATTATCTCCCCTCGTTTTTTCGCGTTTTTGTGCGGTTTGATCAGTACTATTAGTCCTTTGCTCCATCGGCCGTTTTGTTTGTATGACGGAGAATAAGAAGGTGAAATTACTTGAAATTAGTATGGAAATATAGTTTTGTGTATCTAAATCGAAAACAAAATGGCCGATGGGGCACAGGCCTCATCAGTACGGACAGATGAAGGTGCTGCTGGGTGGAGAGATCGAAACGGTTTTTTATGTGAAGAAAACAACAACAACAACAACAACAACAACAACAACAATAACAACAACTGTGCATGCGGTGGGCATCATCTTCCATATGATATCGCATACGTTACCATTCCGTTTCACAACTCATGCCCCCTATATCTCAACCACAACCCTCTTGCTCTTCACGACGTGACAGGGAGAACCGATAGGCGACGGCCAGAACCTGGGGTACAAGCTGCTAGACGTCGGAGGAAAGCGCGAGCTTTCCAAGGGAGGGCTCTGCCTGTCGCCGGGGTCAGAGCTGACCTGGCTGGGGTCGAGCGAGGAGGGTATGGTGATGGCTATGGACTCCGCCGGTCTGGTGTCGGCGCTGACGAGAGTGAGTCGTCTGTGTAGGCACTGGCGTGAGTCGTCTGTGTAACAGTGTAGCGATATGTCACCATCACTGACGGCTGTCTTGTGGCGTGCCTGATACCAAAAAAAATTGCGGTGTATCCGCGGCAACGTCCCTGACGAACCCAAAATTCACGATCTGCCTTGGCGGAAAAACTAAAAAGTACTTCGTAGTAATTTTTGCGTTTCGGTCTTGCGTAGGTGCTAGCCCAGGTTGGCGTCGAAGCGTCTGGCTTCAACGTTGTAGACATCGGAAGTGTCTTATATTTTGTCTTGTGGATCTTGCCCTGTGACTGGTTTAGGGAATGACGTGGCTGGACGTAATCAATTACACGCTGACAGTATCGTACATGTCGGGGTGATTTCTCGTTTCCGTGCGGTCCTTCGATGATAATCTCGCGGTGCCCCTTGCTGCACCCCCACCGGTAGCGAACTTGAACTTTCATCGCTAGGCATGTAAGCGATCGAACCTAGAACACGCACTTTCGAGACTTTGGAGGTCCCCGCAGCAGCCGCATTACCAGAGGGTCCATTTTCTTGGATTCTCCATGTCATTTTTCGCTCCTTCAATAGTCTCGTTATTGGTGGGCTGGCTTTGGCGCGCTATCGCGACCAACCCAGCTCCACATTCACTCCTTCACTAGCGACCGCCGTACGGCTCTTCTCGTCTCTTTTTCCGATGTTGAACGTGGAAGTAGTCGCCCCTCTCGAGAACAGAGATGACCGTGTCAACTGTTGTTCTTGCCTCCACAAAAGAATTGCATCTTTTTTCACTCTGTTGAGAGTAATTTGTGTGTTGCAGTCTTCTACTACACTCCTCTTCATCGTCTCCTCTTCAAAGTGATCCTCTTCGACGTTATCGTAGCGCACGGAGCGCATACCATGCTTGTGTTTGTTTCACTCTCTCTTTTCTCTCGCCTCGCACGGTCACCCGGGTGCCATCCAACTTCCCGACCTCGCAGTCTTACGCCTCCAAGAACAAATCACTCTCCAGCTTCATTTCACTCGTCTAACCTATAACAGTACTCCTTGATTTCACTCGGTTCTCTTGCCTCGCGCGCTCACCCTCACCCGAGTTCCTGAACTCGCAAGTGTTTCGGCGCCAAGAACAATCGATCGCACTCCACCTTTCACTCTCCTGAGAATCGACGATTGTTGATTTACACACTCTTCCTTTCCCCTCGCACGTATTCGCCCATGCATGTCTTTTTGCTTTAGTTGTCCATGTGTTGTACCCTGTTGGGCGTTGAGAAGGTACCGAGCAGAGACCGGAACGATATATTTTTGTGAATCAAGCAGACGTACTACAGCTGTGAAACAGGACAAGACAGCGAACGAACATCGACATCTCTGACAATAACATATGAGCGATAGCGCACCACCGACAACACCACCGACAACACCACCGACAAAACTCGCTCCGTCCTACCCCCCGAATTGTGCGCCCCCCCCCCCGTCCCCAACCTCGCAGTCCTTCGGGTGGCAGTGGACGCCCCTCCTCGACACCCTCAAGGTGTCCAAGAGCAAGAGGTACCGCTTCTGGCCGGTGGGGGTGGTGTCCGGCAAGCTTCTCGCGGCCACCCTCAAAGACGGAGAGGAACACCCCGCCGCCTACCCTCGCCCCGTGATTACAGGTGACGGGGGCGGCGACTTTCTATTTTTTCGTTAGTATGACACAACTACTGTAGTCCATCTCTATCCATAGAAGCAGAGTCTAGATTGATTGGCAATGATGTCCAAGGCGTCCGCGGAAGCTACCTGTGTTTCCACCATTTCCCGAGCAGAATGCAAAGATTTCTCCCCTGGGTAGAAGGCTCTGCAGTGTCTTTTTGCCTTTTCGTAATTTTTCACAACTACTATTAGTCTATCTCTGTCCATAGAAACAGGATTAATCAGCAGGAAAGTCGTAGCGTAAACGGAGTGCTATTGTACGTGCGTTTCTACGTGCGCGCGCGCGTGTGTGCGGCCGCAACAACAGAAACAGAAGAACAGCACCCGGCGCACGGCGCCCCGACTCCCGAAAGGGAGGTCATTGGCTCGATAGATAATAGAAAAACACCGCCATTTGCGGTTCTTCTTTCCGATGTCGTGCTTCTTCCGGCGGAACGGCAGCTGCCGGCACGCGGCGCCATAATTCTCGACGAGGGAGGGCGTTCACACCTTTTCATCGTTGATAAGTTCTCTTGCAGCGATGTTTATTGGCAGGCATTCGGGGATTTTTTTTTTCCCCGTTTTTGGTACACTCCTGGAAAGGCTTCGCAGCGCTGGGCGTGTTGGCGTCTCTTCTAGCGTGCCTTTGTGTGTGTGTTGTGTTTCTCTCTCTGATCTGATGTCTGACGACGTTCCGTTGGTCTGGGCACCGCGTGTGAGTGAAATGGTGGTGCCGCTCGCCGTCAGTCCATTCTTGTGATGCGCTTCATATCTTCGCCCTTTTTTCATGGCTAGAGACCAAGTTCGTCGCTGGTTAGGAGGAAGTATAAAACGTATGTATGCATACCAGGAGCACATTTCTATTTCACCGCAGTAATTTTCACATTGCGTTTTTTTTTCTCCGTTGTTGTCTGCTGCTGCTGCTGCTGCTCGCGCGCAATTCAGCGGTGCCCCTGACGGCCATCTGCGCCCAGTCCCAGGACGGCGAAGAGATGTCCAAGTTCGAGAAAACCTTCCCGTCGATGGAGGCGAGGGCTAGGCAAAGGAAGTTCAACCTTGACCATGGCCTAGTCATGGGGGATGACGTCTCCGCTGAGCCTGAGGGTGAGTCAGGCCTGTTGGAGCTTTTCCCGCCCACCCCCAACCGTAAGGCCGTCAAGAATAAATGGGATGACAGCACTTTTTTTGACAGAAAAAACTTAAAAGTAGATGTCAAGCGCTAACGAAAATGCTGTGTTCTCGTCCCGCCTACCCGCCACCGACGGAACTCGCCCCCCGAAAGCAGAGATGGAGGGAGAGCTCATGACGCAGCTGGCTAAGCTGGACACCATGGTGGTGAAGAGGATCCAGGAGGCCTGCGCGGCGGAGAAGCCTGAGCGTGCGATGGACCTGTCCTCTCTCCTGCACCTCGAGAAGTCCTACTCTATCGCCATCAAGGTGACGGGCGATCTGTATGAAAATCACCGATCAGAAATTGTTGTTTCATGTTTCCCAAGATGTACGCCAAGAAAAAAAAAGGCAAGAAACGAGTTGTCCTTTTTATGAGAAGCACACACACACAAACACACACATACGTGCGGGTTTTTTTCCGGAGAGTAGCATGGACTCCCCCAATGACGCTCCCCCACGCAGTCCCAGATCGTGGCCAAAGTGCGCATGTAGTGTTTTCGACCGCACTAAGACTGACGTCTTTTCCTTGGTCAGCCGGTTAGCGTGGCCGATGCTATTAACAGAACATACACATGCTGCCTGGTGGCAGGGAGTCTCTTCCTTGTGCTTGGGACGCAGGACAATTCCTGCGCCCCCCCCCTCTGTCGTTAGAACCTTTAGATTCTCTTGGATTCAAAAGCGTGTTCGCGTTGTCTTTTCCCGCCATCAGACGAATGGCGTCTATTCATTGGTCCGCCGGTTGGCGCACACATACACCAGCACTAGAGCGCAAGGTAGCAGCCTTCGTAGACGTGTGCAGTTTTCTTCTGTTGCTACCGTTTCCGTCTTTGATCCGGAGAATAGATTAATCTCCCCCATGCCGCCCCCTCACGGGGTCCCGTTAATGCCATTTACAAGTGTTGTGTGTTTTTTTTTACCGCACCAAGACTGACGTCTTTTATTGGTCAGCCGGATAGCGCGGTCGATGCTAACAATAGAAACGACACCCACGCGAGAAGCGATTTCGCGTTGTCTATGCACACACGCTGCTTCAGCTGTCATGTCAACGATTAGACCACATCACTTTGTTTTTTTTTTTCAATATTTTCATGACGACGACGACGGCGCAGGTGGCTAACCACCACGGACTAACTTCCTTGGCGGCTGGCATGGACGACGCCATGGTGGCAAAGGTGACGAACTTGAGTATGAAAATAAAATCATCGCAGAAAAAAAGTTACGGCAAGACAGACTTGCGCATTTTGCATCCAAGCGTTGAGGCGAAGATGACGAACTTGAACATGAAAATAAAACCATCGCAGGGAACAAAATGACGGCAAGACAGACTTGCGCATTTTACATCCAAGCGTTGCGAATCAGTGACTAATCTGCCTTGTCGACGACAGGTTTGCACGTAAGCCCCACCATTGCGAAAGGGCGTTAATGTTCATCTCCGCTACCAGTTGCTGATTCGCGCATCCCAGCGTTGCGATGATCTGCGACGGCAGTATCAGACTCGCGAATCCTGTGCATAGCGTCTTGCGAACCGGTAGCTATGTTCCCGCGGCAACGACAGATCTTTTCACGTCACTCCCAGCAATGCGAGAAAAGCGGTATGGTCGTCTTCGCTGTCAGTAACAAATTCGCGCATCGGGTTTGTGACGGAGTACCATCTGCGTTGCCCCCCCCTCCTGGACTGATCACCGGGATAGTCGCACACACACCCACCACAATTGAGAGGGTGTTCATCACCAGGCCAAGCTTGCCGCCGCCCCTCCTCATGAACACCCTCTCAATTGCGGGGTCAGAACTATAGGCAGAGATCTACGCAAGGCGTAGATAGCCCCGATCGTATATTTCATGTTTTCGTCGAGGAGAGATTCGCTGTATCGTAGTTCGCGTGCTGTTCTGTTATTAATTGCACGTGCATCTTGTCTCTTTCGGAAATCCCCCCACAACGCCGTCGCGAAACGAAGCGACAACAAGCTCTCGCTAACCGTTCCAAATTTCTCCATGCCTTCCCAATTTTTTTGTGGAACGAAACGCGGGGAATGATTCCATGGTAATCCGCAAAGTTTTTTTTATTGCCCCATCTTTCATGTCTCCTTAGCACGCCCCCCCCGCAACGCCCGCATCAAGGAAAAATCGGCAACAAAGCGCCCCGTCAACGCAACAAACTCTTCTCCATGCACGTACGCCTCACACTTCACAGTTCCAGGGTCCAGACAACGAAGATGCCTTCGATGGCGAGGAAGGGTCCGAGGCTGGCGACGGGGGGTGGGCAAGTAGTGGGCGTTCTGGCGGCGCTGCAGGCGGAGGTCGGGGGGGCCGGGGGGGGGGGGACGAGGAACAGAACCTTGGTCCTCTAGACCGGGCGAGGCTCGAGCAAGCGTGAGTTCATTGTTGTTTCTGTTGTTGTTGTTGTTGTTGTTGTTGTTGTTGTTTGGCGACAGAGAGTCCCTGTCTTGAGGTGGGGACTCCTTCCGGCCTGCATCATGTTCTATCTATCGCGGGGTTTTCTATCCACCCGAACGCCTGCAAAGATATCCACGTCTTCATTATATTCATCCTCCGCCACGCGTACCCTACTGGGCTCAAAGCAGACGCCCGCCCTACTCCATCCACCCCCCTGTGCCCCGCCACAATCTTTGCGCTAAAACCTGTGTATCTCCCAACTAAAATTCGCTCCCGCCACCATCCACCCATCAACAGAAGGCGCAAGGCACGAGAAGAGTCAGTGGCCCCGCCCCGGCGACCGCCGCCGCCGGCCGCCGGAGGCCCCGGGGGTCGGTACGACGGGGGGGCGGGGGAGGACGGGGACGGCGGCGACGGTTTCACGCCTGGAAACCCCTTGGGCGTCGACGACAGCGACGATAGTGGCGGTGCCGCGGACGAAGCGGAGCTCGTAGACTCCGACGACAATAACGGCGGCAGCGTGGGTGACGTTGCCAAGGGCAGTAAGCGACGGATGCAGGAGGCCGAGGAGGAGGAGGAGGAGGAGGAGGAGGAGGAGGATGAGGAAGTTGCGCCCCCCCCCGCGCCAAGGAACCCGTTCGCCCGCGGCGGGAAGACTTTCGCGTCTCCCCCTAAGAAGAAGCGCAAGGTATGTATTTATTTATTTTTTGTCTCCCATCATTGGACTCTGTCGTCTGCCCCTCTGGCCCCTATCCTCCACTTCTACCAGCTAGACGACCCAACCGGGGTCACATAGGAAGGGGGGGTTGGACCCCCTCCTGCGGTTCCTGCCTGAGATATTTTTATCGCGAGAAGGGTACAGCAATCCCTTCCCTCGCGACTTATGAAGTCGAACATTAATGTGGCGTGGTGGTTGTGTCGAGGTTGTTCGTCCGAGCTTGTATGCTACACCCACCTGTCGTGTGTGGCGCACATGCTTTACGTGCGTTTTCCCATCTGTTGATCGTCCGAGCTTGTATGCTACAGCCACCTGTAGCCTTGTCGTGGTGTATGGTGGCGGTGCTTGGTGTGCAAGCTTTCGTGTATTTGCCCATCTCGTTAGTTCGTCCGAGTTTGGCAAACGATGGGTGATTACAGTAATCCAAACTGGGTTGTGCACTGCACCCACCTACTGTCGTAAACAGGTTGACGTTGTGTGCAGGACTTGACTATGAGCATATTGTGTGCCCCGGCGGTGGCTCGGTCCGGGCCCTAAAGTCTCGTGTTAGGCCAACCGCAGAGGAGCCATATAATAATGCAGATACATTATGTATGTCGCTCCGCAACTGCAGGCTTCTCGTCACTCAGCCACTTCTCCCAACGGACCAGGCCGGCCCCGTTGGCCACTCCTTCCCCGTGTCTGGTTTCCGCGATCCCCCGCACGCACTACAGTACTGGTTCTCGCCCCCTGTATCCATTCTACATGTAGTGCCTGATCCCTGAACATAGCGTCAATGCTTGGTGTGCGGCAGGGTGTTGTTAAAGCGATTTCGCTCCTGCTGGACTCGACCGCCACCGTGTGCATACGTCAGCGTCTAGTTTTCCGACACCAGTTTTGCAGCGTTGGGGCGGAACAACCCGGTGCTGTGCGCCTGAGGAAACCATACTATATCTCTCCCTTCTCCTATCCCCGCCGCATGGCGCTCTCGTGATTCGACGCCATACGCAAAACAACCACACCGTCTGTTGTGCGGCCCCCTTCCCCCCTCCCACTTTGGCATAGAAGTAGGAAGGAACGATTGTGCATCGCTCATCTTCGTCCCTGTGCGAACACTGCTCGATCCTCTCACGGTGCGAAAAATCATGGTCCGGCAACTATGTAAGGCATGCAAAAATGACCCTCCTTTTGGTTCATATTTGTGAAATGTACCGTGGGCCGGCAAAAACCCGGCACATCGCTCTTCCGTCGGGATGCGAGGTCAGCGGTGAAACGGCTACGGCATGCGTTTACGCAAGTCCCCCCCCCCCAACGCTTCTCCCCCCCGGTGTTTACCATCGGGGTTGGGTTTTCGTCGCTTGGCAACGACGTTGTACAACAAGCCAGTTCACTTCGTGAACTCGGCAACCAGGTTACCGTTTCTATTTTTTTTTACCTCCAGTTTTTTTTTTGCGGTAACTATAAATGGTGGTCGTGTAGATCATGTTGATAGGGGTGGAGAAGCCTCACTCCGCGCAAGGGGAATGATGGCACCACGTTGTGTTTAAATGGTCAAGCACCCTCGAGGGAGTTACACAGTGCTTACTACTGTCTCCGGAAGTGAACACCAGAAAATATATCAAGTCATACGCAGCTGTCATCCATATGTAAGGAAGTGAGCACAAGATGCCGAACACCGTTAGCAGGATGCAGCGCACCCTTCATGCGACTCGCCGAATATCTCACGGCGCTTCGCGCTTGGTGATGTGAGAGCCTGGTCCGGTGAGAACCCGGCGTGCTCCGTCCCGGCTTTGTAGGGATGCGAGGTCAA